ACTAGAAACCTATGAATATTCTAGCCGTTTGATAAAGATAACTAAAATATACTTGAATAGAGAGACAAGTAAATAATTATATAAAATGTTAGGTAGGAAGACAGACATACAGACAGACTGAAAGAGAAATGCTTTCCTATTTTAGTAGATAAGAGAAAACACACACACACACACACAATATATATATGTATAACATATAACGTTAAAAACATTATGTTTTGAAAGAGAAATAGAAAAGTATACACAATAATGATAGAAAGAAGATATCTCTGTTATAGACAGTAATGATAGTAAGATAGTAAGAAGAATATATGTCTGTTATAGACAGCAATGATATAAAGATAGTAAGAATATCTCTGTTATAGACAGTAATGATAGAAAGATAGTAAGAAGAATATATGTCTGTTATAGACAATAATGATAGAAAGATAGTAAGAATATCTCTGTTATAGACAGTAATGATATAAAGATAGTAAGAAGAAGATATCTGTTATACACTGTGTATAACAGATATCTTCTTCTTACTATCTTTATATCATTACTGTCTATAACAGAGATATTCTTACTATCTTTATATCATTACTGTTAACAGAGATATTCTTACTATCTTTATATCATTTAGACAGTAATGATAGAAAGAATATATCTCTGTTATAGACAGTAATGATATAAAGATAGTAAGAAGATATCTCTGTTATAGACAGTAATGATATAAAGATAGTAAGAAGAATATATCTCTGTTATACACAGTAATGATAGAAAGATAGTAAGAAGAATATATCTCTGTTATACACAGTAATGATAGAAAGATAGTAAGAAGAATATATCTCTGTTATACACAGTAATGATAGAAAGATAGTAAGAAGAATATATCTCTGTTATAGACAATAATGATATAAAGATAGTAAGAAGATATATCTGTTATACACAGCAATGATATAAAGATAGTAAGAATAAGATATTTCCGTTATATTTAAATTGAATATTAAACCCTATCTACTTATTTTGATTACAACCTTGAAGTAGTAGTAGTACTGGCAGAGGAGAACGATCCATCTCACGTGCACGTTAAAAAATCGCGTGATCCATCTCACGTGCACTTTTAAAAATCGCGTGATCCATCTCACGTGCACTTTAAAGAATCGCGTGACCCATCACACGTGTGCGTCTGTCTCGAAATTTTACAAATTACTTCAACCCCCTCCCCCTACAGTCTCTCCAACAAGTTTTGGGGTTATAACACCACTTTCTCCACTACCTAGCGTTCAACGGGGACGAATCTCGACAGGCGGCTAGATATTGGGTGGTTTCTCCACGTGCTTATTTAGGAAACACATTCTCACAACACGCGGGCCATATTGTACCTAACCTAAAGAAACATCAATTGTGACACTAACGTGTTAAACGTCAAAAGCAAGAATTCTTTGGATGGCTAAAGCCGGATCTAAAACCCTAACTAGAAGCAGCCTAGCGTAATTATTATCACTGGTGTTAAGCCTAAGTTTCAAACACGTTATGCATAAAAACGTTATTTATAAACTTAAGTTTTTTTTTTTTTCAAAGCTGATATTCAGAAAAATATGTAAGCAAGTAATTATTTGAAACAAACTGTTTGAACACCTAAATTGACGAAACATGATCCGTTAATACAGGTGTGATACGACGCCACAATGATAAGTTGTGGAACTTTACGAAAGGCCTCTTCGGCAGCAGCGTACAACTACAAGTTATAGTAGAAATGTTATTATCCACTATTCTTGTTGGACCAGTGAATAATGATGTAATTTCATTCTTGAATAGTTATGTGTTCACATTGTTTGTAAACACAGCAAATTAAAGGTAAGACGTTATTAACAATAATGAAAACAAAACACAGTATTAAATCCAATAACCTATACTACAGTAACGAAAACAAAACACAGTATTAAATCCAATAACCTATACTACAGTAACGAAAACAAAACACAGTATTAAATCCAATAACCTATACTACAGTAACGAAAACAAAACACAGTATTAAATCCAATAACCTATACTACAGTAACGAAAACAAAACACTGTATTAAATCCAATAACCTATACTACAGTAACGAAAACAAAACACATATTAAATCCAATAACCTATACTACAGTAACGAAAACAAAACACGGTATTAAATCCAATAACCTATACTACAGTAACGAAAACAAAACACAGAATTAAATCCAATAACCTATACTACAGTAACGAAAACAAAACACAGTATTAAATCCAAATAACCTATACTACAGTAACGAAAACAAAACACAGTATTAAATCCA